AATAATAGACCATCATTATTATGCACTAAACTCCCACTGGAGCTGCCAGAAATAGTTAGCCAGATGGACACTGAAGTGGTTTCTTTTATCAGATTTTGTTGCAAAGTTGAAAAAAATAAATAATGGGACATATTTCAGTTGCACACATATTCTGCCAGTTTGAGGGAATTTAGTTGTCCAAGTCAAAATGACTATGGCATTCCTCCAAAACCTCTCTGATCCTTGGAGGTGCTGCGGGACAAAACAGTGGACGGCCACCAAATATCACATTCCCCCTCTGCTTTTCTCTCTCTGTGAACTCTTTGGAAACTAGCCATAGAAAAGGCACTTAACCAGCAGAATCCTGACAGAGTGGGAGGGAAGATGTCTCTCCTCCTTTGTTGATTAATGTTGAATCTCTCCAAGGGTGCATGTATTCAAGTTATACCCTTACTATCCATGCCCTATAAATCTCCCTTTAAGTATGTGTGCCAGGTTCCTTAACAATGCCATATTTGCTCAGTGCCATCATTAATAGCTGTTAATGGTTCGCTAACTGAATTTGTGCACATTTAAAAGTCAAACCTGACCATTTGGATCCTCCTAAACCTATTTCCCACATGTGCAGCCACTGATCTGAATAATGAAGTGAAATTGCCCACTGGTACATGTGAACTTACGTACAGTAATACATTAAATTAACAAATTACACTTTAATGTATGCACAAAGCTGTGTAGCTATGTAACACCCAACACTCAAGCATGCTTCGACACGGTCATCACACTGGAAGAGATACAGTCTCAGAAGATGAAAGAGCACACAAGTCCTGGGATCAATTCACATTACCATAGCCATAATCGCCTGGATTGATTCTGCAGCAAAAAATTATCATACCTGAGGAACAGCTCAATTTGTCCAGCATAAATTGATGACACAAAGGGAGTGAGAGAGGGTCAGTAGGGACCTCAGAGGTGGATCATGGTCCATAAGAGCTCTGAGTGAGGAGATCAATAGGGGCTCGCTGGGCCTGGCTCAGTGTCCATAATGTGATGTGTACACAATCGATAGCTTCCCCCAAGCTGGCAGATGGGCCACTGGTGTGGCGCGGGTTATTTTTCTTCCCCGCAGCATCTTTCCTTCCTCAAACTAAGGAACGATAGGGATGCAGGCAGAGGAGGTGAAGTAGGGTGTAACTGTGTGACCACAGGGCTGTCACTGATGACAGGACATTTAGAGAGGAGTTAGTGGGCCTATTGACTGCTTCCTGTGGGAACTAAAAGTGGATGGGGAAAGGTGATTCTTGCAATTTCAAGGGTAGTGGTTGAGATGACAGGTGGCTGAAGATGGAAATCAAGAGAGGCTGAGAGGAGAGGCTCAAGTGAGCTCTTAACTCAATGGCTGTTTCTCCTGTGGATCAACTTCACTCGTCCTGCTCGGGTCTCCCAGAGGATCCAATACTACCTTGAAAGAACTGTGCAATTAAAATTGTGATAGTGGATGTTGGTGGCTAAAGAGCATTCCCTCCCTTGATGCAAAAAAGATATTCTCTTAAGCTGCTGCCTACACTGTCGCTAGCAATATATTTTAAGCTCTCCCTTGAGGAGTTGAGCCAGCTGGTTTTTGTTTTGTGAGGACATTCATCAAGTGATTTATTTTTTCATGATGTGTTTTATAATGTGCTCAAGAGTAAGACCAAAGTATCCATGGGAAATCCTCAGAGTATTGTATAAAAATAAGTCATGTGACATTCAGCAATTCTCCCCGTCTTTCTCTCTCTCCATCTGTCTTTCATCTCATTGTAAACCCTCAAAATGAAGCAGTTTTTTTCCAGCATAGTCATGCTAAAGCAGTATTTGCAGTAGAATTGGTGGAGGGATAGTAAAAGAGCCAGAATAGCCATGGACAACTAAAGCACGTCGTACATTAACCTGATTTGAAGACATTACCCTCCTGTCTAAGCCAATCAGGTCTCAGGCCATGACCTGACTATGGCGTCCTGAGGTCACAGGAACAGGGACTAAGAGACGGAAAGATGAAGATAGAGAGAGGACAGTAAGACAAAGGGCTTACACACAGTGAAACCTTTGTCATCGAGCATTTTTAAAATACAAATAATCTCTGACTTATGACAGCTTTATTTGGTCACATTTTATTTAGCTGTTTATATTCAAATTGAGCAATTTTTAGTCACTAGTGGCATATTTCTTTTAAATTGCTTTTTATTTTGGCTATTAAGGACAAAAGCAATAACCGTTTTGTATATTCCAGCAAAATCTCAGTGAAATGTTGCTCCTAGCGTATCATCTCAGACAGTACTCTAGCAGGCAGCTTGGTCAGCAGGTAGCATTGATTAGTTTAGTAAAATGATCAGGGTACCAGTGACGTTGTAATCCCTGTCATCTTACCTCTCTGAACCCTTGTTCAGAGATCTGAAAGTGTTCACCTCAGTCAAGTATCTTGTTTCCATTTCCTGTCTCTGTTAGCTTTCCTCCACTGGGTCACTTCCAGGTCAACTGGCCTGGCTGCGTTGGTTTCCGTTTTTTAATCCACCACCCGTGGCATTTGATGCTATACTTAATGCCACCACGCATGCAAATCAGGGGCAAAGAAGACTGAGTACAAGTAATTGATCTTCTATACTCCCACCTAATTACAGTAGGTTAATGCAAGCTACCTCAGGATTGCTCATCCTCACTCTCAAATGCCATTTGCTGCGGTCCATGAGCAAGGGGTGCATGGGTGTGTAGGAAGGTGAGATCGCATGGGTGTGGGTCAGTGAAAACATTAATCACTTTCTCTCTGTCTGTGAGCATGAGCTTGTTTGTGTGCATGCCCACGAGTCCCTTCATTCAGCTGTTCATAGTGAAGTCTTAAAAGGGCTCACTTGCTCCAAAGTGTGGAACAGTACAAGATAGTACTGTCTTCTCTGAGGCAGTTAATGTGAATCTAAATAAAGAATAGTTGACCTCAAGAGAATGAGGGACCTTTTGCTTGTATTTTCATAAATCATTTTTATTCTGGTACTGTATCTGAAAGAATCAGCTATGTAAGCGAACGTCGGTAAGCCTATGAACTGAGCAAAATCATTATCTCATGCACTAATCTACTCTTCCACCTTCGGAGTTGACTTGGTGCCAAGGTGTTCAGCAACAGGAACATGAGCAAAAGTCCTCTGATCAAGTGGCTCAGCACCATGGGGTGAGCCTTAGACGAGCTTGCCAAAATGTTCAGGGGTACGGAAGCAATCTGCGTCTTGCAGCTCAGTGCCATTCCAGGCCGAAGTTGCCTCACTTAGCTTCTAATAGGTTTAACCTAATCAGCACCAGTAGTCATTTAGTGATAACACTTCCTCTGCTGAGCCATGACACCCCCTTGTCTTTTCTCTTTTGCTCTCTGTCCCCTTTTCTTTCTTTCTTACCTAGAAGGAATTTCATTTCTTTAAAAAAAATGTTTATACATTTACATTTGTCTATTTCAGGTAGTGTTTCAGTGCTATCTAGAGGCAAAATAAATAGATAATAGAAATGGCTGACCCCTGCACACTCCATTCCTGCATGATGTTATAACACATATAAGTGATATTTGCTAAATTAGGGAAGTCTCACAGGAGAGGCAGTGACTGTTTCCAGATACCACTGTGTAAATTTATGTAAGATAATCAGTGTGTTCTGCAACTTAATGTGGTTTGTGATTAGTATTCTGGGTGCCTTGTTGTCCTATCTTGACTGAGACGCTTCAATCTTTGTTCATTAGATTTTAATAGGTTTTATATTGCTCAGGTCATAGAGGACTTCCCACAAAAGAATGCAAATTTTTCCATGCACTGGATTTCACTTGATTGTTGAGGTTATGCTGCAGTTCTGTAGAGTGTAGGACAGAGACTTTTCACCTGTGTGGGTTGCGACGCTGGGCTGAGCGGAGTTGAGCTGTGGAAAAAGGACATCAACTAATCCCAGCAGTATTCTAAGGAGTTATATCTTGGTGCAAGGCAGAGGCGTATATAAAATATGGATAAGTACTATAGAAGAACGATAAAGGGACGAATAATGAGAGAACCATGGAATACTCCTTACACTTCCAAACACCATATATTTCTCCCACACTCTCATATACACCAAATCTCAGTCAGAAAAAGCCAGATTTAATCTATAGAGGTCAGTAAATCTTGGTCAAGGTAAAGAACCGCAGTTAAGGTGCAACGTCATGCTTCGCTGACCTCATAGGATTATGCAGGATGTTCTTACCCATCTCCTTATTGAGGAGCAGTCACTCGGAATGCTATCAAAGCATTATATTTCCATTGTAAATTTCACAAGAAGAAACATTACTTTTCAAATACTGAATTGAATAAATTATATTTTAAGACAGATAGAGGGAGATTGCCAATAGGTGGAGCCAAAATCCTTCTGCCCTGTTATCTATTTTAGACGGGGTACCACACACACTCCTCTATTTCCAAAATAGATGTCTGGCCTAATTATTTTCCTTTATTTAATGTTCTCCCCATTTAATAATCTATCCTGCAACCTGGCATTCATTAAAAACTTAATCATTTTCCTTCTTTTGTCATTTTACATTACCATGCTACCTTCCTTTGTCCTTTCAAACAATACTGTGACATGCTTTAGAATTCTAATACGTGTAAGGAGGGCTCATTTTCATTCAAGAACTCTCCCACGGTACCTTTTAGCCCTAAGATGGACACTCCATTAGATTCGTATCATTTATACTCCACACCTTTCAGCTTTTATTTATGCATCTTTTTCTGTCCCTAACTAGGATTATTCACAGTGATGTCACAAATGACTGAGCCATAACACGTTGATTGAAAGAAACAAAGTGATAGATCGACTTAGCAACACAAGATCTATATCTTGAGTTAATATTTTATGGCTAATGCATTTGTAGTGTGAATATTTATCCTCCCTTTCAGTCGATTAAGAAGGACAGTGAAACATGAACACTGACGACTTTTTTGTAATCCCACTTATATTTATTCCTTTCTGTGCTTTCTTTTCAGATTCTAGCCATCATCTCGATCCTGTTCATCGTCCTCTCCACCATCGCTCTGTCTCTCAACACCTTACCAGAGCTCCAGATCATAGATGAATTCGGCCAGGCCAACGACAACCCCCAGTTGGCCCACGTGGAGGCCGTGTGTATTGCCTGGTTCACCATGGAGTACCTCCTTCGCTTCCTCTCCTCTCCTAATAAATGGAAGTTCTTCAAAGGCCCGCTGAATGTCATTGACTTGCTAGCCATTCTGCCCTACTATGTCACCATCTTCCTGACTGAGTCCAACAAGAGCGTACTGCAGTTCCAAAATGTACGCCGTGTGGTGCAGATATTCAGGATCATGAGAATATTGAGGATCCTGAAGTTGGCCAGGCACTCCACAGGGCTCCAGTCTCTAGGGTTTACTTTGAGAAGGAGCTACAATGAACTGGGCCTGCTTATTTTATTTCTTGCCATGGGCATCATGATATTTTCCAGCTTGGTCTTCTTTGCTGAGAAAGATGAAGATGCCACAAAATTCACCAGCATCCCCGCTTCATTCTGGTGGGCAACCATTACAATGACTACAGTGGGCTATGGTGACATTTACCCACAGACATTACTTGGAAAAATTGTGGGTGGGCTCTGCTGCATTGCAGGAGTGCTGGTCATTGCCCTACCCATCCCCATTATTGTCAACAACTTCTCTGAGTTCTACAAGGAGCAAAAGAGGCAGGAGAAGGCCATCAAGAGGAGAGAGGCACTAGAGAGAGCCAAGAGAAATGGCAGCATTGTGTCAATGAACCTAAAAGATGCCTTTGCCCGCAGTATGGAGCTGATGGATGTGGTGGTAGAGAAAGGAGAGGACAAAACCTCCCTGGACAACCACCTGTCTCCTAGCCGCTGGGGTGGCTCAACCAGGCACGCCAGCTCAGAGACTAACCTGAAATCCCCAGAAAAGAGAAACCCAGACTCTCTGCTGCAAAGTTCCCCTCATCGTATAACCATCACCACCACTGGAAGTCCCCAGAGGACAAACAGGACCCCACAGCACCTTAATGTGCAGAAACTGGAGGAGATGTACAACCAGATGACCAAGTCACAGTCCTTCACTAACCTCAACACTACAAGCTCCATGAGCACTCTGAGCACAACCATGACTGGCCCTGTCTCACCTAGAAAATGTCAGAGCCCTGAATTTACATTAAAAGAGGAAGTAGAGCTGGAGATGAAGGAGGTCCAACCCTCCTCACCAGATAACTTTGCAAGTTGCTCAGCAGACTTTAGAAAACAAGGCTCTGACTCAGATGAGGATGACGCTGTGCCCTGTCAAACCCGACATCCCAGGGCACCACCCCATCTGGATCTTAGCCAACTGAGGGCTAGCGATGAACACAGCTCTCCTGAAGTCATACTTAAAGATGGCCTCTATGAATCCGTCAACCCAGGTGGCGGATCAGAGCTCCACATAGAGGAAGGGGAGAGCTTTGACAGTGCTGTGGAGAACATCCAGAGCTCTCTAAGAGAGAACAACCCTCTTAAAATAAAGGGGTTGAAGGTCAACCTCACCAAAACCTCTGCTGAAGGCCCGCTAACACCGCCCAGCACTACCTCTCCTGGAGACATCAGCTCCAGCATCCTGGAAGACGACTCCCCGGAAGGAGAGACGTCACCGCTCATCCCCAGTTCAGAGGAGTTGCTCCCAGTCACCGAGGAGGATACCTGCCCGTTGTCCCCTAAGAGGCTGGTGGTGGACACCCCACCCGGCGATGAAGATCAATCCACAGAGAACCACGAGGAAAAGCATCTGATGGAGGTGGCGGGCGCTGCAGTTGCACCCTTGTCACCCAAGACAGCAGCACAAAATTGCACCCAAGGTGTGGTTGGGGCAGGTGAAGAAGTCAAGGCTGACAGCAACCAAAGTGGACACAAAGTAGAGAACCACATGTTTACATCTGATATCCACCTGATACCCGGGGATGGCAGCCTGTCTCCGACCTGTGAAACCAGCATGTGACTGTGAGAGAATCTCTGAGGGACAATAGACCCACTGCAACCTCAGCCTGGTGTGTGGGAGAGCAGGGAGAAAAGACAAGGATGCAGTTGTAGTGACAGATATTTTTGCATGGCATGACAAGTCCCTTTTACTTGTGTTGTTGTGTATTGCTGAAAAAGTAACTGCAGTGCTTTGTGCAGATTTGAGAATGACTTTGGGACAAACAGTGGGCTCAAAGAGGAGGCTCTTGAGAAACAGAGGGAATTCATCAACTTATGTAGACACTTTGGTCCTCCAAATGTACATAATGACAGTCTCCTTTTTCTAGCAAAAGAAAGAAATGCACAGAGGGACTAATCTGTAAAAAGCATGCATTTAAAAAAGACAGATATTTTACGGTGCTTAGTTTGCTGAAAGCGCTCCACTGTAAATAATAGGACATCTAAGGCAATGACAATGCACAGAATGGCAAAGGAAAACTGTCACTGTAGGTACAAATATTTGTAATGTGAAAAAGGAGGGGTGGGGGGTAAAATTGAGAGCCCTCAGACTGGGAGTTGCATCGTAGCGACCTATAAAAAAAACATATCATTACCTTTTGTGGAAATGCAAAGTGTTCCCATGACGACCCTGTAATGTTTTTTCGTGTGAAAAATGATGTATAAGACTGTAACGTTGACATTATTGCTTTTGGTTTTCATAACGACTGTTGAACTTTCAGTTGAGCATCTGATATTCCGTCTTTGAATTAATAACGGTGGGCAAGGAGGACAGAAACACCTTGATTCCTCTAAATGCGCCTGAAGTTGCCAAATACGTATGTAAGCAGTAAGGACAGGAACTATCAGATACTACCGCTGTTGAAAATATTTATCATGAGGTTTCAGAAGTAAGGACATGGCTTAAGATGTTTTTTTCCTTGTCCTGCCTTTTGATACCTTCCAAATCGCAAAAGTATATATTATTTACTCTCCGACTTCCGATATATAGATCTAAAAGTAGTTTTAAGAATACAATATGAAATACATAGGTCTAGATTGGTTGTAGAAAAATTCTACAGTAGGTAAGACAGAGTTAAGACTATTTATTAATTCAGCACAGTAGATCTGGTCATTAATACACATGTATGCTTTACACTATAATTATATATTTTGGCAATTCAAAAAGGTTAGACTACCACAAAAAAAGACAATATTCCTTGTGATACCAATGGACCAAAACAAGCACACTGACAAGCTTTCATCTATCTCAGCTGCATAGTAACATATAAGGTATCATTAATAACATGTATTATGACAGTAGTTATGTTTTGTTTTTTTGTTTTTTTTCTTATGTTTACTTGCATTGTGTTCATTAACCTATCCTCAGCGCCCCGATGTCGTTGTTGACATTTGTTCCATACTACTGCAAGTTTATCCGATCCTGCTGATAAGTTTAAGGCATCTTTTTTTTAATATATATATATATATATATATCCGTAGTGTCTTGGACTGTAATTTATTGTGTTTTATTGTGAACAAAACTATTTTCAGTCAAACTTAAACCCAAAGGAGTTTTATTTTTGTCTTTTTTCTTGCTTTTGTTTTACACTGACTGAAAATATCCGTTGTATGTTGCCTTTGATACCAATTGTATTGCTGGAATACTTGTTTATTGTTTCAGCATGACACTTGGCTGAGTGTATTAGTAGTGTGTTTGTGAGAGCCACACAAACCAGAATGACACTGACAGGAAGTATGTGGGCGAATTCTTTGTTGTTTTATTTTTTTTCTTTCTTTTTCTTATTATCATGTTTTTTTTGTTTGTTTGTTTGTTTTGTTCTCACAGAGAGGTGTGGAATGTGCAATATCGCATACTGCAATCTATGCAGGCCAAGAATTGTGGCACTTTATTTTCTGTCTATGGGATTTGTAAGTGTACAGGCAGAAATTACTTGTATTTTTCAAATGTTATATCTTTAATATGAGGCAAAACAGTATTACAACTACCAGAATCTCACAAACAATGCAAATGAGAATTTGACTTTTACTTTTTCATATTATATGACTGGCATATGCTGTCAAGCACCTTCATGCCAGATATCCATGGACCTCAAATTTGATTATCAGTGAGAATAAGGATCCAAAATTGACCACTTTTGGCCTTTTATATTGCTGTTGGATTTCATTTAAAAAGATCTAACAAATGTCTGTGGAAGATATTAAGATAATCTAATTTCAATGGCCACACACAAAGGATTTTATGTTTTTTGTGAATTAACGTTGAGAATGATTCTATTTTTTCTAAACCAAAATGGAGCACGACCACAATTTCCTGCCATATGGTGGTTGAAATGATGCGTGCCTTTTCATAACACTGCTGTTTATGAGAAGGCAGCAAGTCATTTTGCTTTGTTCATATAGCACTGTACAGAAAATTCTAATTTTATAGGAGAAATCAGGTCTTTATGTAATAGATACAAGTAATGTTATTGAGTTCTCAGGTTTTCTATAACTCTCTGATGTTCCGATTGGATAGATTCTCTGTTTTTTCTTTAACAGCTAATGTCAACTAGTTACTTCTGTACTTTTTGAAAGGTGATGTTGTCAAATCCACATTGATGTCTTGGCTCCTGGAGTAAGGAGTGGCAATATCTCTCCCTCCTCCTGGGTAATCTGTGCACCACATTCAGTGTCCACCCCCATCAGTCAGTGAGGCAGGAAGGAGCACAAACAAAGGGACAGAAGTTTAAGCGTTAGGGTTTAAGAGCTGAGAAGTAGACAGAAAGGGAGAGATGTGTCTAACTGAGAACCTGGAAGGCAGACATAGATCCCTACTGTCACTGAACTGATACATCTGATTATTTCCCATGCCGACACCGTTGAGTGCTTCAATCCCTACGGCTTCAGAGGCTCTAACCCCATAGAATGCTCTCAGGAACAGCAATCAATGGGTAAAAGGAAGGCTAGGATACAGGAAGGTTTTGAGAGTTAAGAGGAGAGGTGAAATGGGGTCCTCCCAAATGGTTTCATCACATCAATGATCAGTTGTGGTCCATATTTCCTTTTGTCTGTGTACATACTGTATACCCAGACCAACACAATTTTACTTCAGAGATCCATGTGAGAGCTCATAGAATTGTCTTTCATGTGAAATTATTGATCCCTCATTGGAAACTCGGATTCTTTGGTACTCTCCAAAGTAAAATGTCAGTGGTGGTTGTTGTTGTTTGGGGTTTTCATTTGTCTTTTTTCGTTCGTTAAAAAAAAGGAAGGTTAGATGATAACCTTCTTGTTAAAACTATCTTTTTCTGTACCTGTACGTTCAATTTTACGTTTTTTTCCCTTCATCCCTTGTTTGTAGTAACCATGTATCTGTGTTAGCCTCGGGTAATCCTTCATTTTGACAAGTAGGGTAGAGAAACAAGGGATTTGGATTGATCAGCTATATTCCCTTGGAATGATGTTTGTGTGGATAATGAAAATAATTCTGTGAGCTGACAGTGAATGGACTGGACTGTGCTCTGTCTTACTGTCTCACAATGGCATTATCATGTGTGATGCTGTACAGAGTGAAAAAGGTTGTGTCTTTATTTTCTCTGAGAGGAATGGGTATTGTCTGTGTCCCTCATCCGTGCTTACCAAACGTTGCTCCCTAAAGCATTGTTTCTTCTTATTTCTCTGTGTATCCTGCCTCTTACATTTTTTTGTTTTTTGATTTTTTTTTTTTCTGTTCAGCTTTGGAGAACATTATCATTAGACACATTCTGAGCTACAGACTGTTTATGTACAAAGCAACATCTTTGTATGCATGTAGTAGTCCGAACAATTATGTGACCACAGAACACTTGTATGTATGTCAACATTTCTGTAGAGCATTGTTCCCCATTACGTCTATTAGCATATGCAGAATAACAAATAAATGTGTATATAACTTGTGTGTTTGTGTGTCTGGTGTTTTCTACTCTACAAATGAGCTGTTGTTTGAAGACCACATCAGCAGTTTCTGCATGCATTTCTTTTGCATCTTAAAGATTATTACATAATATGAGACAGATATGAGTTTATAAATGCATAGCACTAATTAAAACCAATGTTGCATTTGCAGCAAGAAAGTATGCAAAGTTGTTCTTCATATCCAACATTGCAGACAGCTCAGCATTGTGGCGTAACTGGTTGATAAATGATTTATCAGTGGAGGGAAATGTAGTTCCATTAGAGGCAATTAATGGATCTTCACATTTCTGTTGCATACAAATAGTGATACTGAACATAGAGTCCTATATGTAATGTCTTAAATATAAGGAACCTATACACTTGAGCTAAAGAGGTTAATAGTGCATTATACAAATGTATTGGCCTATTGTCAATGTATTTACTACATTAAATGGGGCTAGAAAGACAGTATCTATTACATTCATTGTGTCACAGAGGATCATACTTGCAGCAGGGCTATCTATGGAACTCAAGTGTAGCTGTATATTCAAAATAAGAAAAGACTAAACTTGCAACCAATAAAGAAAACAAATCCTACGGTGTATTCAGCTTTGTGCAAACCAAAAAACAAACAAAAAGTTTAGAGGCGTTTAATTTTATGTTCTTGGGTCACTAATGTATAAGGATTTTTGTAATAAAACATTGTAGTTACAACTCCCAACCACCAGATGGCGCTGCATGCTGTCAAGTGACGCCACACGCAAAACAATAAAGCGCGCGGAAATCAAACAACTGCCAAAGAAGAAGAAAGAAATGAAACTATTTCCCGGAGAAGAACTCGACCGCAAACATAAACATGGGGCCTGAAATTGACAATAAAAGCGCTACAGACGCAAGTTACATAGATGAAAGTGTCAGTTTTCCCCACGTTACCGCTGTCGCTACTGGGTGGACGTTGGACTTTATGTTTGTGAGCCTGTGTCGGCATTTCAAGGAAGGAAAACATGATGAATTCAATGAAACTCTTTCTACTTTCGAGAGTAAGTGGTTCTCAGCTAACAAAGCATTAGCATAGTTGCCCAACTAACGTTACTATTATGTGAATTACATGCAGCCTCTTACTTGCCTGAGTCCAGAAATATCGGCTGTAGCTATAAAACAAAAGGTGAAATGTACAAAACAGAAAACAACCTCGTAAATTAAAAACGTTAGACGTTAACTTTAACGGTCAGTGAATTTGAAAATACAAGCTAGGAGTCCAAATAAAGCTGCAATGTTGAATGAAAGACTGGTTAAATGTGGCCCAATGTTGACATAAAGTTGTACGAGAAGGCTTTGAATTTATGCGATAACATAACGACATTAATATAAAGTGATAAATTCTGTAACTTTCAGACACTTCTAGATTAAAACACAGCTGTTGCTAGCCGCCATGCTGTGGCTGAGACTCGTCTTCACCTTACAATAACAGAACTCATTTAATCATTATTACTACAATAATTAACAAATTATCATTCATTTTACCCCTGATACCTGCATAAAAGTGTGAATCGGTAATAAAGACGGTACATTAATGTTGCTACAGAGACTTTAAAGTTTCTCAAGTTTCTTTATCTTTGTTCTTTTAGCCATTTATCAGTGTTCATCTCTGAAAGGAAGACTTCATAATGAGAAAGCCATGATCTGTGCCTTCCTGGCTAGAGTCGTGCATGGAAAGAAATTGGGTAAGTTGTTGCAGTCTGAAGCTGAATTATACATCTTTCTACATCTGCACATTAACTCTGTTTAGCAGCACTGTTTGGGTGCTTTTGAGTGGAAGGTGGTACTACAGAAAGGTCAGAACCTACTGTATAATTTACAACATACGTTAGAGTCCCATGTGAATTATAATGACCTGCCATAGAGTCTCAGCAGCAACATTTTGGGATTATAAAGCCAAATGTCTTTCACACAAAAATGTGTGACCAGGGAAATTAAAGACCCTGACAGCAAGTGTGACAACGCCACCCTGGGACTATCACCCAGAGAATACCCACTTTCACCGGTTCTTATAGTACAGAGAAGGAAAAGAAAAAAAAAAAAAAGCAGAGATGTGAATTTCCAGTTTCAACCACTAAGTTTATTTACACAGATTTAATTTCAGACTCATAAATAACAATGTTTGTGACAGGTCAGAATTTATTACCAAAATATAAACTTATGATTCACTAAATAGATAATTACTAGTGTAAGGGGGAGGGTGGCTGTCAGGGAGGCCTACAGGAGTGAGGGAGTGAGAGAAGAGGGGGTCACCACCACCACGTGGTACAGGGAAGAGTAGATCACACACACACACAGCAAAATAATAAAGCACATAGTTAGAATACACAGCAACTTAAGCATGCACATAGAACCCAGACAGAAGGAAACCCTCCACCCAGTAATCCACCACCTGTAAGCATGAGACAGCCCACCTGCACAAACATTAAAGAGCCCCACTAGATCACTAACTCACAAGTTTGGTTTATGAAAGATAAATCAGACAACTAAGTTGACCAAGAAAACACAGACCAACTATCAAAAATGAACAATCTACACAGTAAAATAAGGTAACCATATACAATACACACATTTGTAGAAGGGCAAAAACAGCAGTAGCCAGAGGACTAGGTCATGGGAACAGACATTTTCCAGTTCCTATTGTAAAGAAAACACATTATACAAAGTATATAGTGACATATATACAATATATATTAATCCAAAAACATATGTTTCAGTAGTTAAAAGCTAAAGACCACTGAGAAGAATATTAAACAAAACATACAACTTAAAGATTAACATACCTGCAAGTTACATAAACACTTCATCCAGCTAGGATCTGGCACATACACACCACACTCTTCTAGTGGAGGGAGCAGCAGCTACCTTCAATTAGCTCCCATATTCCTGCAATTACACCTGCACAGATGTGAGGGAAGAACTAAATGCATGCACCCACTATATGACACACAAGCCAAGAACAATTTATACCTTAGTTGGACATCGGCATCCCTCAAACAAATGCGGAGTCAGGGTAGGGTGAGGCAAAACCTACTGCTGACTGCTACACAGCTACATTTAAGGACTGAGAAGTGATTAGCCTCACCTGCTGACAATCAGTGATTGCAGGGCGTGGCTAAACTAGAGTGGGGAGGGAACGCTACCATCACAATCGCAATACATCCAAAAGTCTCAAGCCAATTAGTACATTTCTTATAAAAACTCATTTATATGAGAAAAGTGTTTTATTTGGGGTTCTGTTTACAGATGGGCCCAAGGATGTTTACCAGTTGAAACTGTTCCGAGCTGAGATTCACGCTTATGTAAAACTGCATAGCTATTAGAGACATGTAGTCGATGTTTTGATGACCTAGTTGATATGCTAAAAAACTATCAGAAAGTAACTTCAAGCTAAAATGTATGGATTAAAAATTTATCTTGTGCTTCTTAACTGCACACACACTCACAAAAACCTTGATGGCCTGTTTTTTTACCATGTAATACACCGTTTTTCCCCAGATGTCCTGTTTGAAGAGGATTCCTGTGTGATGCCTCTGATGTCCGCAGCCAAAATATGGTCAAAGCTAGAGGACACCGTGGCAGACGAAAGCTTGTTCAAAAACATTACCATCCTTTTGATTGTCCAGGTAATCATACTGAATATTTTGTGGGGTCTGTGTACACAAGATGAGAGAATTTCCAGAGATGGCTTTCAATGTGTCCGGGTTTGATTGCTGGCTGTAACAGATAGATAGCACCAGTTCAGGAAATCAGGTTCAGGTCAGGTCAGCTGAGTGATCTCTTTTAAATCCCTTCTTAAAGCATACTTTTATACCTACCTTGATTTTACTTGAATGTTAATGTTGGGAAGTATCTTTTACTTCCTGAACATTTTTCTTGTTTATCTGTTTTTCTTCTTCTTCTTTTAAATTGATGGTTTTATGACTTGTGAAGCACTTTGGTTTGAAAAGTGCTCTATAAATAAATATTGTTATTATTTTTATTCTGTGATTAAGCAAGGTTAATGTCCTGATGTCACACAAGGATATTTTGTCCTCATTTTGAGTGGTAACAGTCTGATGCGTTTGCCCCGTTTCCAGTCTGTGGCTGTGTGCATGGAGAAAGGCCAGAGATCCTCTGCCTCTTCTGCCCTCAAGTGGTTTGAGAATAACCATGGATTCCCACAGGTCTGTATGTCCATTATTGTCAGTTTTCTTTTCACAGCACATAGTTATAACTTGAATATTCAGTGGCCTAGAATCATTTTAAATTCTCAACAACTAATGTTTTTCAACAGAACTTGGGAGTTAAGCTGTCGACAATAGTGACACAGAAGGAAACATACCACCCATTCCTTTTGAGCTTCAGCTTCAGCCGCCTGCTGGAGACAGTACAGTCTTACTTGGATGCCTACTTGGAGAAGAACCCCTCTGACTACCTTCTCAAGGTACAGGACCAGCCCCAGTATGTTGTAGACCAACAGCCTGTATCAAAATTACACTATGTCACCCCTTCCAAGTTCAGCCTAGTTCATAAACTGTCTTTCCTAGAATATGTATTCATTTGATTGAATGTGTTTCAACAGATCGTTAGATATTTGGACACTGAACATGCGGGGGAAATGATGAATGAAGTGCTGTTCAGTGTAGTAAAACATGACCTTTAAATCTAAATATATTTATTAGAGGGGGGGAAAAGAGTTGTGCAGAAAGGCAAAGCACAAATCTAACATTGTGAGGCAGCTGGATCACAAAATCCTGAAAGAATCTTGCCAGGCTTCAATCTATGTGTACAGTGTAGGGTTGTGCAATATGACAGTATATAAATCGTGTGACAATAGAAAAGTGTCTATCATATCGTATTATGCTCTATTGTTTCTTCCTTTTGTCACAAATCATATTACGCAATGTTATTATTATTATTTTTTCATCTGGATGATGCTTTGCATTCTACTGCACGGCATGGATGCAGGCAAGACATTTGCATGAAGGCAACACAAACAAACATGCAGGAGAGTTATCATGAAACAGAACAGCATAATTCTGAAAAGGAGAACCAGTGTCCGCACACAAAACAAAATGATGAGTTCTTACCTAAAAGAGAGTTTGACTACATTGATCGGATTGGTTGAAGTTCACTCTTGATGGACTGTGATAGACAGATGGTTCATCCAGTCACCTGCAGTAGTAGTTTCTAACGAACGACTTTAAGGATGGTTTTGTGTAACGAACCATCTGCCGCAGTCAGGTCATTTTAAAAGTTACTTGGAAAATTGTTTTCCCAGGGTAGGATTTACTCAGTATTCATGTTGATAATAAACATTTATACTGCATACATATGGTTTATACCACTGGCCCTGCAGAGCTAATGCCAATGTAAATTTAAAGATCAACTTTGTATAGCTGAAACATAAGGGATGAGAATAGCTGTGCAAGACATCAACCAAGAGGATTATCCCCACTGAAAAATATATTATGAGTGGTGCTGTATTTGATGCTTTAACTTATTAACATATCTGTCTTTTAATACAAAGTGTGAAAAGAATAGTCAGGTTTTTGCTCCGCAGCTGTTTGTGTGGAGTTTCTTCAGTCACACATGATCTAATAGGCAAATACAGGCACAAGGTGTCCAGTGTTTTGCTCCAGCTAACGGCAAGGTTTCAAAAACAAATTTTGTAAATCAGTAAATCTTCTTGTTCTTGTGCGCCGACCTGTTCAGCTCTCGTTCCTCTGAGTAATGGCGCTTTGACCAACTGTACGTGCTGATGTGACATTATCAGTCATAGTTAATTGACAATTTGTCATCAAAATTAGTTGGAAGGGCAAACTGCTAGATTCAGCAGAGCCCTCCTCAGGGTCTAACAGACTCGCTTATTCATGAAAGTTTCAAGTGTGATTTACATGGAGGCCGCTGACCAAGGTTAAATTTTAAAAGGTTATTGTAATGACAGGCCTCATTAGTTTTGCTTTCACATTAAAGCAATACTTAAACCTGAAAGTTCATTGTTTTGAAAGAGTATGAAATGGTAATACTTAGTAACATAATTTATGTTAGTCTGTGTATTACTGTCTGCCTCTCCATCTATTAGGCAGCTACAAAGACGGTCCAGTCATCACAGAACATGGAGGGTTTGGAGGACACGGTGACACGGGACAACTCTTTGTCAGAAACAGCCAACGAATTAAAACTGCATAGAAAGTAGGAAATTACTTTTAACACTCACAGTTTAATTTTTGAAATTTGTGCACGGCCCATTTCTGTTCTGTATTGAACAATATACATCTTTTGTCCCAACAGGAAAAAGGAGAACGCTGCAGGTTTGAGGTTAGTAGAAATCAGTGTTGAAATGTCTTTTTAATATGAAACATTTTCTTGGAGTTTGCTGTCTCTCCTTGAGTAGAAATTCAGCCAGCTGTCCTAAACATATGTAGGGTAACCGACTATGTTGTCACTCTGTATTACACTTCCACAGAACAAAACGAAAACTACTGTCAACCAAAATAACTGATGTATGGAAACCTGATTCATGCAAGAAGCCGTTAGTCTCTCTCAGGAGAATGTCCAAGAGTGGTAAGTTTTATTTTTCTTCTGCCTGTGATGTTTTTTGTTAAAAACTAAATGAATTTGTCTTTAATTTTGATGTAAACATACTTTTTATTTTCTATAAAATGTAGAAATACATTTACCAGCACATTATATTTCGTACATATTTCTGAGCATGAACAAAGTCAAAGAGAATGTTAAACCTCCCACCATCAGAGTTGTCTCGGATGATATCTGAGAAGTCAATGGTCTGCTTTGAGAAGTCAATGGATTCCTCAGAAAACAAGGAAAAAACAAAAAAAAGAAAACCACCTCAGGTAAGTTGAATCACGCAGCTCATTTGATGTTATGTCCAGTTAATTCATTTCAAATCAAATAAATCCATGAAGCATCACTGAAATGCTGCCTTTCTTTTGGGTGGAATTTTTGAAAGTCTAAACAATTTGAGTTTATGTTGTACTTTTATTTAGAAATGGACTCCCCAGCTGGATAAATACCTCACGGATGGTGTTAAACGTCACGGCCAGGGGAAGTGGTCTCGCATATTATTGGATTATGACTTTGAAGGACGCAGTGGCACAATGCTCAAAGACCGCTGGAGAGTTCTAATGAGGGCACATAAAGTCGGCTGAAAACATGCAGTGCCTCTCTAACTTGTATAATGTAGCAATTTGGTTGTAAATAAAATACTGATTTAGCTGGTCCACTAATTTAACCCATTGCAGAGTGTAGCCTAATTGCTTGTTGTTTGATTGATGTTCCTGAATGTTATTGGTGTGTTAGGTTTTGCTGCTTGTTTGAACCAAGAAAGTGTACCACTAGAAGGAACTCAACACAGAATAATAAATTGGGATGTTTGCATTTCCTTCTATGACAGGATACATTTGATAGTATATGAAATCTGTAACTGTGTCCCTCTATTTTGCACAATATAGCAGTTCTTTAATTAAAACATGTGATTAGCTTTTCTCATTTTAAACAGTTGAAATTGTGCTTTTCTGCAGCTCTGTTTGCACCATGAAAATATCTTACCACCAGAGGGCAGTCAACACAACAATGAGCTGGGCTGCCCCCTGTGATAGGGAACATTACATGGCATCTTTTTGTTGTTGTTTCTGTTTCATAAAGGGAAAAAAATGCACAATTCACAATACAAATGTAAAATAGCTTTAAAAGTTAAATATTTTTGCCAGAAAATATTGTCAATAAAGGAATACAGCAGTGGCTTGTTTCAATAAAGACATGCAAAATACATTTTCATAGGTGCTTAATGTGTGCTAGGAAAAGGTGAAATAATGTAGTGTCTACACAGTATGCTGCGAAGTTACACAGAGCAAATGTGCATGGTGATTGCATTGATTTGAATATGCTTTTATATCAGTGTATGGCATATTTAATAGAGACAATTGCATTGCACCTCCCTCAAGTCTTAAGTCTTAGTATTGAAAGCACTGAGATGTCTGATCTGAACACAAAATTCCAGTTTCACTGCTGAGGGGAGCTTGGCTGTGAAATGTTATTGTGGACACCGGATCAGAGTGCTGTGCTGCTTGGTTTGGATCAGATGAAGATGAAGCTGTGTTGCGGTGGACAGTTGCACTGCTGGGTTTTCTGGATCTTCTTCCATGTCCCACTGCACTGATAGTTCCCCACCGCCTGCCAGTGGAGCACAGCTTCTCTGCAACACAGTCACAGCCACGGTTGTTTATGGGTTTTCACACCACCGTGTGCGTAATTTCACGCGTTCACATTTGTGCAGTACAAGATCTCTGCAGTCGACTGATTTACTGCCTTGCTCAAGGGCACTTTAAGTGTAATTTCAAAGGGAGGTGGGAACTGATCCTGCTCAGTTTTCTCCTGGATAAAAGGGCTGTTTCATGAATTGGTTACGCTTTGATTCTGACTTAAATGAAATAAGGGCTGATAAAATGGCAAAACCAGAAAAATACAATTGAATGTAAGATGCCTAACTTGAACAAATACGCAGCCATAAACAACTGCGGAGCGAACGTGCATATAAAGGTTCATAACTTCATACTTGTCTGATTCCTGACCATCTCCTTGGCAGCTCCCACTATTGTTTCTCATGGCAGGAGGTTCACACGCCACACACACTTTAAAGCCTTCTGTAATGTAGCGCATCCAGTGCGTGTGTGGCCGGTTCTCCACCGTACAGTGGGGTGTCCGGGATTCCAGTGTGAATTCCACACAGAACCTAGAGGGGAGAAGGGGTCAGGGTCATGAGATTCACACACTCAATTCTGGGATATTGGGAGCAATCAGTCAAGATAGAAGACTTAAGAAGACAATTTATGTATGCGATAGGAAGACATCACCCAGTTTGTGACTGGCATAGGGATAATTTGCTTCATCAGTGTAGTATGGACACACCCTTTATGACGTGGGGATAGCTGATTCAGCCAATGGCTATACTGTAAGCTGCACAAAATAACTCACCTACTGTCATCTAGACCCTTTGTGTATGTGCTTTTCATGTAACAGTCCTTATTAAAGTCTGAGTGTTTCATTTCAAAGGGTTGTGGGCAGTCGCGCGGCATTAATGGTTTGCAGACAGACATCCAGGTGAGCAAACACCTCCTAGTAGCTCATGCAGATAGAGGAAAGAGTATCTCTTCTTTTTTTTTTTTTGCAGAATGGTTTGAGTTACACAGCATAATGCTAAAATGAAGTTAACCCCTGGCTGCATTCATGAACTTTTCAACTCTTGAATTTACAGATATGTGAGGCTGTGTGCATTTTCAGAATATTTGGGGAGGCTTTAGGAGCATGATATGAAACCTACCCAGGATCTAGGGGGTTTCCATAGTTGTCATGCTTGGGCCTACCCTTGCCAAACTCCATGCTGGTGATGAATGCAGGACCTGGTAAGAGAAACCAAGTTCAGGTTAAGACGATTTAAAGTGCAAACAGGATGAAACGGGGAAACTACATAAAAGATCAATGTGTTTATGTACCTGAGTTGTGTCCACAGTGGCCGCCCTGGTGGTCTCTGTACTCCCTGCAGCCACTTCGTTGCTCCAGGCTTGGACAGGGTTCGCCGCTGTTACTGGGCTGCTGCTCTACGTGACGTACACGGACGCGCACCGAGGGCTGGCAGGGCTTGGCACAGCCGCTCCAAAAGCTCCAGTCGCTCACAGCACAGTCCTGAGCTGGATGTTGGCACCCACATTGTGCGAGAAAGATTATTACAGGATACCTTCTGTGGTAGCAAACAATCAAACCTGCCCTGAAACTCAAGAGATGTTGGACCTAACACCGTACACTACACTCCTTAAGTTCACAGTGTGTGCTGAGGTGACTCTTCTGAGCAACAGTGAAACCTTGCAGCGATTACAGTAATGAAGCTAAATATTCAGGAAATAACTTAAGATCAATGAAGCATTGACTGTGACTTGTAGAATTAGTGTTCCATGCTCTACTACAAGTACTTTGAGAGCAGGCCAAGTGAGCAAACCCATTCAATCACCAAGTCCTGTGATTTCTCTTTTCATTTACTCTCTGTGCTTGATGATCAAGCTTTGATGTATTAAGCATGCAGATTTAGTGACTGCCGGCCTATAACACATATTAGGTACGCTCGGCTTGTTTGACTACAACTGTAATTGCTACAACTGATTGACAGAATCACATTCTTCAAATATTTGTACTAATTCCATTATGCTGGCCAGTCCACTGAAATGAGGTTAGACGCAGAGCTGCCTGGGTTATTTGGTGAACTTATTACTGCCTTTTTTTGACTGAACAGCCTTGACACAAAAAAAACATCAAAAAGTTAGACGGTGAAGAATACCTAGAACAAACCACACATAAGAGTTTGACAGGACTTGAAGATAAATGTGCACAAACAATTTCACATGCCTTGGATGAATTTGGTACATATCCGGCCCTGCCAGCTCTGTGTCATCAGAGATATGTGATAAGCAGCCCAGTAATGACCAGGTACTGAAAATAATCTCCTCTTCTCCCAGTTATCTTTATCTTCTCTCCAATAGACAGATTCAGAAGATCTTCAGGTTATCTCATGCAACAGGTTATCTCCCACCGGTGTCATATAATTAAGGTGTGTGCAAAGAGAAAAAAAAAAAAAAACAGCACCTCCTCTTGTGATTCATTCACACTCACAGCGGCCCATCATTTCATCCCTCACCTGGGCACTCTGTGAAGTAGTCGAAGCAGCAGTCCTTGGTCCTGACGCAGCCCTCGTCGCAGTAGCACATCCCATACACACGGTCCATCCTCCAGTCAGTGGTCTCGCAGCTCAAGTCTCTGCCCCGGCAGCATTTCCCTGAGCAACCCCCAAACACCAAGTGGTTCTTTCCCAGAGTAGAAACCACCAGCAGCAAACAGGCAAATTCCACTGAGGATCCCATCATGAGGTGGGGTCAGGCCAGACCCCTGGAGCAAAACACTAGCCTCTTACTTGCACTAATATATAATTTCTTATGTCTAAGTGTATTTATTCCCTCCCTGGTCCTACTCTGTCATACTCAGGACCGCGAGAGGGAGAGGTTGGAATACCAGCCAAACCCTGCCAAGACCGTGCTCTGCCACAGGAGCCCTTGTGACCTGGAATTCCTGTCTCCGTCTCCTGTGTCCAGCCCCTCTGTTTACCTCCAGAAACAGGTCTGCAGAGCAACCTACAGTACGGAACACCCCATTCCAGCCCCCAGTCAGACTCCCATGTCTCTCATACTGTGTGTGCAACCTCTCCCTTCAGAGCTGGTGTCTCTCTCTCCCTGTTCCCAGCTGAGCACCTCCCTTCACTCGATCACACAAGGGAGGAGACAATGAGGGCAAGGGAGGAGTGAGCTGGTGAGTTTGGTGTGCGCTCTGCCTCCTGCTCCTGCTCCTGCTCTCTCTCTCTCTCTCTCTCTCTCTCTTGCCTCTTTCTCACCTGTCTTGTTTTTGTTTACCCCTTTTATTTCTTACCGTCTCCCTGCAGAATTACAGTGACCCTGATCTGCCAGTCTTGCCCAGCCGCTCTCTGCCACCCCAGACCTCTGAATCCCAAAAGAAAGGGAGGAATGTGAGCAGTTGGCAGGTCTCCAGACAATTGTGCCAGGGGGCCCGCTGAGTGTTGTAAAGCCACCCTTTGGTTCTCACCTCTCTCCCTTTTTCTCATTCTCATACTATTGCTATTGTTACTGTAATCTACCAGAAACACTACAGTGTAACGTTTTTTGGTTTTTTTTGTTACATTTTGTTCCTTTATTTGATGAATTAAGTTATCTGATATGTTATTTGTCGACATTCTGGGCAAAAGGCTTATTTGCTCTCTTGCCAGGTTGGATGAGAAGATAAATACCTCTCATATCTGTGCACTAAATATGGAGACACAGCAACAAACTGCTTAGTTTAGCAAAAAGACAGGATTTTTAGAAGCCAACCTACCAGCTCCTCTAAAGTTCACTAATAAATAAATCTCCTTTGTTTAATCCATACAGTAACTGAAGTGTAAAAACAACATGTTGCTTGGCAATCTCATGCTGAAAAGACTCCAAGAAGTGACTGTACCTGGCCAAGAAATAGTCCAGCACATTACCCTGTAAAATTACAACCAGTCGTTTTTACACTTTGGTTTTTATACAGAAACAAACACATAGTAATACATGTTAATTAGCTTTAGTTTGGAAGTCCATTATTAATAGGTGCTGGTTGGCAAACATTTTGGGATAGAGCCAGGCTAGTTGTTTCCCTGTTTAGTCTTTATGCTAATCTAAGCTCTCCCGCCTGTAGCTTCATACTATAGGCATGATGGTATTGATCTTATTTAGCTCTTGGCAAGAAAGTGTATTTCCTAAAATGTCTGTTTGTTTAAGGTCCTGCAGTGAGACAGCATGCTTACAGCGGGGCAGTGAACCGGTGAGCTGGAGCTCCAGTGTACATGACTATTTGCAGGCCAGGGTGTGGCCTTAATTTACAACTCTTGACATACAGTGCAGGTGAACGGTAGATGAGATTAATTTCATATACTTTAATTCTTGAGAGGCATGTCTATGACAACCTTAGCCAGGGTAATTGTTTTATCTCATTAGGATGGGGGCTTGTCTTTGACAGATGACTGATTAACAGGACTATTAGATTTTGCTGCTCTGAGTGAAATTAAGACATGCTTAAAGGAGAAAGTATTTTTATTGCCCATATAAAAGCTGATAATCCACATGCTACTTCGCTCTATTTTCACTCTTTCCATACAATTCAGTTTCCATATTAGTGTAAAACCCAATTTCAAGGGAGACTTTCCAATAACAAATATTCATGCATATACATTTTAGGAAACATTAGACATGTTATTTTGCCAGGGCACCGACAGCATTTCTTACTGTTATGTTTTCTCAAGGAGCCTGAATGTCTGAGGATGTTTTGAACTCCAGAGGGTCAGCTTTTATTTGAGTAGTTCCTCCTCCATCTCATGGGAAACAAATGAGGCCTCCGCAGGGAGCATTAGCAGGGAATGAGGCCTCTGTATGCCGACTGCTTTAAAAGGAGCAGATATTTGTAATAATCTGGATACTTTGCCTCTGCTGTCTTGAAAAACAGCTTGCGGAGAGCAGAGGGGGGTCTGTTTGGGTCCTTTGATTCTTCTTCTTGCCATAAGCAGGTAGGTCAAGCGACAGTAATAGCCTTCATCTTCACCATAATCATCAGAAGCAGCATCACTGAGGAGCATGTGTCCGAATCAGTGTATATTAATGTTTGAGGGGGCTGAACCCAGACTGACCTCCAAAGTGTTTTGGTCATTTTAATCTACACATAATAAATATGACATCATTTGATAGATAATCCTTGTTGTAAATTCTTATGTTATAAAGTTTCTCTTAAAAAAATTCTACATATTTTCAATCATTTTGAGAGGGTGTAAGTCTAACAATGCTTTATGTTGAGAAAAAACACAAGGGATACTCCTAAAAAGTCACTAAGGCTAACACACACATTGCATTTCCAGTGCTAATTTCATCAGCCCACTGATGCAAGACTTACAGCTGCATCAGTTAGTTTGCTATGGCTCCAGCACGTTGGAAGTGCACATCAAAGCATGTGTGTTTTACATTGGACAGGCCCCCAACCCTGGACCGCCCGCCCTTACTGTGCACTTGTCAAAGACAATCAGACTTCTGCAGGAACACACCCTGCTTGGAGTTTTCGTAGTGTATGTGAGCAGAGCGGAAAGGAGATTACACCCATGTTCATTCATCTCTCACACCTGTAACTATGTGGTCTTCAAACTCTGTCACAAGCTGCCATGTCACAGGTATGACAGTCATACACACAAGTCATTTTATTGGACAGACAGATACAGAGAGAGATAGATTGGATTTAGCAGGGAATGAAATGCCACCACTTCTTGTAGCGGGCGTCAAGGAGACGGCAGGGTGAATCCTAGCTCTATCTCGCCTATGTGGGGAATGCAAACTGTGGCTGTCCCCATGGCAACCGCTGACCTGCGTTGCTATAGTTTCAAAACCTTTTGTTGACAAATGTTAGAATTCACCTTTTCATTTTGCCACACATTGTAAAGGTACGCTGATGATGTCACCTCTGACCAGGATAACACCCACTCCCTATCACACACACACACACACACACACACACACACACACAAACACACACAGATGTATTTTGTCCTTGCTTTTGTAATTACACTGATAGTGTCTCATTAGAATCTGAATGCACAAAGAGCTTATATTGACATATGTGGCGAGTCCCCTTCAGCTGTCAATAATTCATCCATTTTTACTTTTGACTGTTTGACCTCAAAAATATTTAACCTTAACCAAATATTTAATTGGAGTTAGTCAGACCAATTAGTGCAAGTTTGTCTCTTTCTGTTGAGTGCAGTCAGTTTCTGTCCCATGAATGGAAGCCTTTGTCTGCTATTTTCTGCTCAGTTGTCTCCTACCTTCCTCCCTCCGCATGTACATCTGCACATTTGGTGTGTGTAGTGTGCACTGTCTGTTTGTGTGTAACCTGTACGTGTGTATTTGTCCATGTGGTGGCATTTGAGAATGTCTTTAATCTTATTTCTTGTGAATGATGTACCTGGTTATGACACACACAGTAAGTGTGAGTATGAGTCATTATTTAAAGAGGGGAGAAGTTGGATGTTTGACTTAGCTTGTGTCATCAGAACACAGCATTCAGGCGGAGGTTGATCTGGGAAACAGATAAGTGAGGCTGAACAGGTGAATCCAGGTGGAAAATGGATTTTCCTACAGAGAATTGTGGTAAAAAAAATAAAAATAAAAAGTACTTACATGTATGTGGCATTGCCTGCACTGTACCTGAGGATTACAACTGGCATCATGACCCTCAATTCTCTTCACATCACACTTACATGAGCATCTATTTGAGTAGTACATCCCACTAATGATGCTCCATTCATTACAGGCCATTACCGTTCAATAGTTTATGGATGATAAGACGCTTCTCCAGGGCTGCAGAGGACTTATGACATTCTGGCATCAGCTCTGCAGGCTGACTGGCTTTGGAGCAGAGCCAACGTAATGACAACAAAGGCAGTGATATTGATGAAAGTTTTTCCTCTGCCCGAACCTGACATCATCACTGATAATTGTCCTCTCATCAGTCACCTATCTTGGCATATACTTCCATATGTGTGTAAATCAGTGCGGACATTAGAAGGCAGATGAGGCACGGTGTGTGGGTGGGGAGTGGGGCTGACCCCTGCCTCTGAGAGAGATGAAACTTCAGGTAATAGTAATGACTATGACAGAGGGAGCATCTATCAGTGTGGATTTCATAAATCATACCGGGAAATGTCAGAGAGCAGCGGAAAGGTTAGGTCCCTGTGTATGTTGCTTCCCCAAGGGCAAAGTGTATAAATATCACAAAACCGCAGGAGCTATACATCAAGGGCTGGCACTGAAAATCATTTTACAGAATTTCTCAGTCATGCTTTGACTTGCACGTTGTTGGCAAACAAATCAAATCTCACTCATACCTGGCAATAACAGACACTTTTGAGGCATGAGAATCAAAAGAATCTCTTCACCTGGCAGCTGTAGAAACTTGTATGCAAACATTCTTTAATGATAAGAATTATCTTGTTTTTTTTTACTATCTTGTGGTTCCAGACAGAGACCGCAAGCAAAGAAACTCGTGAATATTTGCAGCACAATAGGCTCCACTGCCATAGATTTGACATCGTTTTGGGCTGTGTTGTGTTTGTATGACAGCGGACTTAGATTTGACCTCTGGGTGTCCCACTAGAATACACAGAGGCACATGTTACTGTGGGACCAGGAGTTCCTGTTGACACATGTCGCTTGTTTGCTCTATCATTTGTTTTTGATTGCTGTGTGACTATCTTTTAGGATCCTTTAACAAGCTTCTTTATAGCCTGCCACAACAGAAGAGGCAGAACATCTCAGTCGGAGAGTTATAGGCTTTATAACGAAAGACTTTTTATTGGCTGGCTGGAGGTCTTTTATGTTAATTTCTTGGTAAATAGAAGATATGATGCTGTAGGGTATGTGAGAGATAACGCGCCTGATGGAGACTGCACTGCAGTGAGCTCGCCAAGCCTACATCTATCAGTATGAAATGTGTCAAGCGAGGCTGCAGCTAATGATTATTTTCATTTTTGATTAGTCTATAAAACATCAGAAAAAGACTTAAAATGTTAATCACAATTTCCAAGAGCCCAGCTGTCTTGTTTTATCTGACCAACAGTCTAAAACCAGAGAATAATTCATTTACCATAATGCAAGGGAAGGAAAGGCACATTTTGAGAAGTTAGGGGCCTGAAAGATGCTATAAAGCTCCATAGGGCTGAGGGGGAACTGCAGAGTGGGTTGATCATTCTCTTTGGTAAGTCACAATGAGCCATCCTTCTCAGATTACACATTTGACCCAATGTCGTAATAAAAATATTGATTATAGCTGAGTTAACTTCAGGTAGTGCACTGGCACGCTGAACGGCGAACACATCGTCCATATTAATTATATAAAGCGTTGATCTTTGTCCCCAGACCCAAGCTGGCTCTTTTCCCTCTCATACCGGCCCAAACATATTTAGGGCACTTTTGATTTGAGGCATTGGCAAAGTTATAATTTGGCAGACGGGCTACATTCTCCGATCCCTGCTGATAGAGTCAACTGGCACAACATCAGTTCAGGCGAAACAGTAACACAACCTGGCTTTTTCTTCACTATAGCACTGGTTGAGCTGGGGACACTCACCTACTGCTTTTGATAGAAAATACTACATTAGTAATAGTTTGTGAAATAAAGGAGCAAAAAAAAAATTCCATTTCAGCCTATTAGCATTTTCCACAATTTTCAAAAATTGACCCTGGCTGATTTAAATGAGCACTGTACTCTGGTTAAGAGCTCCGTGGATACGGTGAAACGATAAACCACTTGTGGGCAGGCCCCTGTACAGCTCTTATTAAAGACCTCATTGTTGACTGTTTGTTCCAGGTCATTTTGTTTCACTACACTTGAAAGGGACGGTAAAACCCTGTAAGAAGAGGGAGACCCGGCCTCCGTTTGAGCGTGAATACAGCCCCTTCACTTAGCATGAATAAGGGGATGGCTCTGTGTTTCTAGGTCACTGTGTGTCCCTGAAATGAACACCTCGCCATCCACGGGGAGGGAGGGAGGAACACAAACAGAACCTAACATTTGACAACATCACATTTGTATTTAACAGGGAGCTTAGGGAGACACTTTGTTGACTGTCCTCCCCTCCCTCCCCAGACTCTTCTGTCTCCACTTTGTTTAATTAAATGGAAATTTAAAAAAAGAGAGAGAGAGAGAGAATGAAATAAAATCCTTGATCTTTCATTCGGAAGTCTTTCAGATCATCAAGAAGGCCTTGATCTGTCACTCTCAGGCCCATTGGCAACCTTGAAATGACAGCAGAGTAGCCATCTTGGCTCTTCTTTCCCCATAACCTACATCAGAGATCTGTGAAGCAACCCAAACAACTTAACGTGGGAACTTGAATTATTGTTTTTATTTATTTTTCCTTATGCTTTGTGAAATATTGAGGACCTTCAAAATAAAATATTCAATCTACGAAGAGAACGTAGATTGTAAAACAGATAATAGCTTTTTTTCTTCCGCTTTCTCTTTCAAATAAACAAACCTTTGAGCAAGATGGGAATTATGTAAAACACAATGCCTTTTTTTGGGTCATTTTACAGTATTTTCTTACAGTTGAGTATGTCTGTGGCTGTGCTGCCTTCATACCTTGTGCCAATTATCATCTGTAATACACACTCACATGGCAGGAGGTGAATCTTTGTATGACACGATATGCAATATGGCCATGCCTCCTGCCTTTATGCTTTTGTCATTCCCACTGTGATAACAGTGGAGTTCTGTGAACAGTAAAGGCTACATTTTGCACATTTTGGGGGAAAGGGTAATAACAATAATAACAAGCTCAATCACTCTACGAATTGAATTATCACATTTTAAATGAGATAACTCTAGTTGCTACGTCATCAAATAATGAAATCCATTTCTCTCTAAACAAAAAGACAATTGCTGTGACTGCTGTCTTTGTCAAATACAATGAACAAGACTATTCAGAGACAAGAGCTGCCCTCCATACAGCCACAAAACAATGTATTATGTGGGAAAGTACCACATTCTAGTATCTGGGGGCACAGTTTTGTGTCTGTTTTGTAGATATGGAATGCAGATTATGTTTCATTGCAATCTTTTAGTCATTCTGATTACTGTGCTGGTCGATATGTAGTGTTCATGCCAAAAGGAAGGGGAAGCTCCCTTTATTAGCTCTGCAAGAAGCTACATGAAAAAAGTCAGGACTTGCAGAGAGAGAAAAAGTTCTTTACAAAAAAAGTAATAATAACAAAAATAAATTTATTTAATTTCAGGAAGACGTTTAACAAGGCACAATAATGGTTTTGCTAAACTATTTAATATGTACATAGATATTTCACATACTAACAAAGTTTGATTAGTCTATAACGGCAATATTTGAAACACTGTTGTAATGAGATGCAAGCTTGACAGACTCTGTAACATATTAACGATACAGTGATAAATATGGCAGTATAACATAACAGCCATTACAAGCCATTAGAAAGATAAAATAAATATCTGTTCATGCAGATGCTGAGTGGAGGAGTACCGGCAGCTGGGAGTGAGGGTTGAAAATATTCAATAATATTCATCATCAGCATTTATCAGCAGAGCAAACGCTGCAGTTTACCACAGTAAATACTACATGTAAATCACTAAAAGAGCGGAGCTCAGGTCAGGAATCCCAGAAAGTGAAGATCAGCCATGTTAAGCAGGAAACTAATATCACTGAGGACAAACAAGCAGTTAGAACGAGCCACTGAAACGAGCACGGTCCACTAAATGTTTTATTTTGCTCAGACGTCGTTGGCACAGACTCAAAGGTTTTGATCCTTAACCAGGGTGACTGGGAAGAAGGTGATTGTCAGGATGAAGGTTTTCTAGGTTTCCGCATTTTCTTGAGCTTTTCTTGTCTCACCGTCTCTCCCTCCAAAGAGGACAGCTCAGATATCCTGTGGATGAAAGAACGAGAGGCTCCAACCATTGGGTCTGGATAGGACTGGCCTGTATGGCGAGAAGCAAAAAGGGATGAATTGAGGGAGAGAAGAAGAAATATTTGGATAAGAGCTTAGCTTGAATCAAAATCATCACACTATGCTGCTTGGTTTTTGTTCTACATCTTCTTATTTTGTTAGTATTGATTTAATACTTTATATCAATTAGGGATGATGTCTTGGATATTTTTGCCTAATCAATAAGTGTGATTGGTATTTTCAGTGTACTGCAGTAAATCTAAATAAAAGTGTACAATAAAAGAGAAAGGTGCTGTATTTGAACTTTAAAAACTGGGGCAAACAGTTGAAATGAGACATTCAGGAGAACCCCTCGCTCCACCTGACAAGACGAAACACTCCCTTTCTCCATGTGACCCCTTGTCCCACTTTGTAAAGATCCGTGCTTTTTGTTTGAAGAAGTAAAAAACCATAAAAATGACGTGTTTGCTGCTAATAAATCAACGCCATAAACACTGGTACAGGTTGAAGGTTGGACTCTCCTGTTCACTTGCTACACAGTAAGGGCGTTTCTGACTCAACGTGTCAAGACCACAACAAATACCTGTCTTGGCTTCACAGTCAAAGCATCAAGATAACTCACTCTTTTGATTTGATTGATCTTTAACAGTCAGTAGGTTGGAGGTTGGATAATGCACCTTAGGCCTGCAGAGCAAAAGGAAAGCAGAGGGGCCATAGGTCTGATAAATAATTGAGAGAGCTATCGATTGGCTTGATCTGATTTAGTTTGTAAGGGCAAAAATACCTGCTGAGCTTGCAGTTCTCAACCGAGAAGGTGTTTCTGCCATTGAGAACTAACGTGGAGGGAAAGAGGATGGCTGGACTCGTATTCAGTTCATATCTTTCAGGGTAGCTGGAAGACAGAATTGAGGATGTTATGGACATATGAAATATAAGGCTGTTGGGATAAATCCTTTTATATTAGCATCTATATTTAGCTTTTAGACTCATAGATATGTACACTATATTCTACCAAATATTATTTGAGGGTTAAGTACTATGTGAACGTGAAGGCAGCTTTCTGTCTATTCACAACCAAACCAAACTGTTCCCACAAATGGAGGTCTAATAGTAATACATTATCTCATTATTGTGCAATAATAATTATTTAGTTTTAGCTAGAATGATGTGCCCCGTGTTACCACAATATTAAACACTAAAAGCAATCAACTTGAAATGTTCTTTTTGTGACAAATTATAAATTATGCATGTCAAAATATTAATTGTATCTGGCTTCCTTTTTGTCCCCCCTCATATTCTTGTCACATATGAGACAGTGACTCAGTCTAATTACTGCAATCTGTGCAGCTGTCTCCAGAACTATGCTGTGAAGAGTACAGCTACAACTACTGCACTGAGTGACATTAATCCACAGGTTACCCCAGGGTGAAGGGCCGCCCAGCATGGCTGTGGGAAAGCTCCTTGGACAGGCTGAAAGGATGCAGGCTGCCAGGTCTGTGCACATGGTAGTCTCTTCTCAGCGGAGGGATCACAGTTCTCGTCCTCTCTAACCTCGTACCTAAGAAATAATTACATAGCCATACAGAACTGACATCTGATATGAAGACTACAATTTCCTAAAGGGATATTTATAGACATTAGAGAGCAAGGGGGTACGGTAAATATATACCTTTCATAAAAACTTCAATTAAGTCTTACACTTAAAGCGCCTAACCCTAACCCCTGCACTGAAATGAGACCTGTGTTCATTATATAGGAAGACAACTCCACCTACTGGCTGTCAAGTGACAATCCAGGAACAAGCATTAAATTCAATATAAATCTTCCATAACCAATTCAATGCTTGGGTCAAATATGATTCACATATTTCAGAGCCTGGAAATATAAAGAATCTCATACATTTGCACTAATTAAACTCTTACTCTTACATTGCTTATCAAAAAGAAAGTGTCTCCCACAGATGTCCTTCTCCGGGGCATTGTTCTCTGACTCCAGGTTGTCATCTTTGGCTAAGTTAGGTGACCTACACATAGATTTAAGAGAGAAACAGGAAGCAGCCATACCAGCACACATGGGGTTTATAGAAAAAGGTGAATACCACCCAGAATAATGACACATACAGTACAGCATTAGTGTATAGTTCTCAGATCCTTAATCAAGTGCAATACCACCACGGATATTCATCTGACACATCTTACCCTGCAGCTATGATGCCGCTAACCAGCGTTTTCCAATCGCCGGACTCTACAAGAGATGAATGGTGTTCAGCATTCATTTGACATATTATCGTTAAGCTAGCTGCGACTTCAATGAGCGTACTCACTGCTCAGGGGTTGTATAGCAGGAAATTTCCTCCTCATGCGATTATTTTGTCTGAAAGCTGCTTGTCCTCCACCCGCTCCCATCCCGAAGTTCCTGTATGCTGGATATCCAACCGCATCAGGGCCGCGCTGGCTGCAATTTGAGCTTGCCCCTGATATTAAAGCCTTTGCGGTAGGTAGCGATGCATTAACCTGGAAAGTCATCATGTTGGAGCGGCCATACAAACGCTTGTTCGAGACATTAACCGGTTAGAGACCGAACATGTAAAACCTGGGCATTATAACGGGAAATTCGCACAAACGAGTCATTCCCGAGCAGCGATGCTAAAGCTGCAGCTCACTATGGTGAATGCTTCCGACTCACCGCGTCGCTATGGCAACAGGCTTCATTTGAACCGTTACTCGTACTTCCGTTAGTATTATTCACTTTAGGGTTTGTAGTAACTTTAGCCAAAAACCCAATAAAATATCCATTAACGGTCTATTATTTTTCCAAAACAGCCCTTCATTAATTACAGGATTAAACCAATGCATTAATATTTGTATAAAGTCGCCCTCCTGTTATGTTAGGGGTCAATAGATACCTCTGCTGAATACCAAAACTATATAAAAAATAGATCATATGGATGAGATTGCACATTGCAGTAAATGGCACAACCACACATTAATGGACAAGACCAAGACAGTTTTTTTCCCCATGTTTTTATTGTATATTTTGAGTCCTTTGAAAACCTGAAACAGAAAAAAAAGGACACCATTAGAGGAATCTGGATTAAAGAGAAACTTTAAATAGTTTAAGTGAAGAACTAAGTACACCATTAATTTTGTGCTTCATACAGATCGTTCAGTCTATGGATAGGACATTAAAAAAAGATACCATCTTTGCAACATTTCTGGAAAAAATGTTTCCATATTTCAATTTGGATGCAATCTGCATTTGAAATGGTTTGAACCAAGTCAGATTTGTCCTCACATTACTTCTACACTCTTGCAAAGAATGAAGCATCTGTAGCAGATGATTTAAGATTGACGGCTAAGATGTGGTTTCAGACATAGTTGGCTTATTGTCAGCTGGTTTTCACCATAGTCGATAAGATGGGGAAAAAAGAATATGCATCATTAACCACACCTAATGAGCTATGCATACTTTCAAGACCTGCAATGTTCCTATAACTCACCATAACTTCAGTTCATCCTCCTGATCATTCTGTTGATCTGATCCTCCCTGTTGCCAGCATCGCCTCCCTCCACAAAGTGTGTGGTCTTCTTATTCATACCACCACGAGGTGAAGACAGTTTGAAGGGCCACAGGAAGTTGTTGGCGGGCTTGAAGTTCTTTCCAACTGTGTAAATCTCGTGGATGAGGTCCTCAACGCAGATGATGCCATATTTGCCTGCAAATCAAAAATCAATGTGCTTAACAAATTTAACTGCACACAACCACTTTCACTTGAGAATGTGAGAAGTCAACAAAAGGCAAGAATTGCTGACTTCATACATCAATTACCAACTGAGAAAATGGAAGTCTGCTATTAATGGATCCTAGTGGTAAAGTCGCTGTGAGACTGGCATGTGGTTTCAGACAAAACTGGCTTAGTTTTCAGTTTTCTCACCATAGTCGATAAGACGGGGAAAAAAGTGTGCATCATTAACCACATGTAGCACTAAACCTTTATCTAACAGTACATTAAGTTGTGATTCATTTTTTTAAACTCTGGTTTGTAGCTACAATAACTAATACCCTAAACCTACCTTGTTCAGGAACACATCTTCTCTCAAAGTAGAGAAATAATGAGGGTTTGTTCAAGAACAATCTTCACCTCATATACACTTGTAGACTGCGCAACAATTTAACAGTAAACATTGTACGTTTACATACCGAGAGCCTTCTCCACCAGAGCGTTGTCTGTGAGGGCAATGCGCTGTTTCCTCATTCTACCATGGCCTCGTTTGTAGATGAGCTCACGCACAGACTTCAGGTTGGGATATCTGGGAGAGGGGGACAACATGTATTAAAGGTTATGATGTGAGCTCATATCTGTATTATATCCCACTACATCACTAACGCATTGTTAGACATTTTGGATTTCCATATAGCCATACAATTCATGAATTTTTCCACTGATCTCAGTTTGAGGTATTGTTAGGTAAGGTAAGTGTTAAAAAGGCAAATCAGATGTTCTGACAGCACTTATTTGGTTGTGACTAGAGGGTCTACATTGATTGAAGATTTCAACCCCTGACAAAGAAAAAGACCTCATGGTACATAGAAGTGTCACTAATCAGTTATGTAATATGAAGGATATTTTGCTGAAATTATAGTTACATGGTAGTGTCATTAACACTCAGTATCAGACAGCCCGCATCAACATTTCAATGGCATGTATGGGGGAGCGTGTCCAACTAAACTGCACTAACCTTCATCACAATCAAGCAGAGATTTGATGTAATGATATAAGTGATTAAGTGATTAAAGACTTACGGTTCTATAAAAGCAAACATTTGAGGTCGGACCTAGGAGACAAAGTTATTCTTCAATGCATTGTGCACCTATATCGCACTATTATGCTTTGTTTCTTGGCTGAAAGTCAGGTCATTTAATCTTTTACAGCACTACTAAGCAGTGTCAAACAGATCAGAAACATTAACTTTCTACCTTATACTCAAAATCCCATTAAAGAGATACCTTTGTGTAGGCATGCTTAACCTCCTGCAATTAAGTTTGACATTCGGTCTGCTTTTTATATCCACTGTTGGATAGTACTTATTCCCTGACATTTGAAGTGAAGATAACCATGGCATTAGGTGCATTAAATACCAGATTAGGGTCCACTTTATTTGGATAGTCCGCCTTCAGATAGTTAATATAGTATTTGTAATATTTGAACAGCTTATTAGTTGTGATTCTGTTTCACAAATCAAACGTTTGGTTAGGTTAAGGCACAAAAGCATTGTGGTTAGGGTATGTTCATAAATTGATACATATACTCTAGATAATCTGTTGAACCTCTCCAGACAAAGCAAATGTTTCTAATACTCTATTTGTATTACCTGCCTACAGATAGTTTAAAGTTTTACCCCAGATGATAATATTCTGAGGGATTGACAGAATACTTTCAACCGCAGGAAAACAGGAAAAACATTTCCAAAGTGTCACTATTGAGGGTTGTCTTGAACTGATTGTTAGTCCTTATGAAAACTATACATTTATCCCCAATCAAGATATTCATGTTTTTTAATCCAACCTCAAACTTATTTTCAATATATAGACATGGAAAAACTATTTTTTAATACTTCTATTACTATCAGGGAATGTGGTTTCAGACAAAACTGGCTTAGTTTCAGTCAGTATTCACCATGGTCGATAAGATGGGGAAAAAAGTTGAGCATCATTAACCACATCCCAGAGAAAACATTTATAACCACTAACAGTCGCAAATACACCATGAGTTACTAGTTTATAAATTACAAATGTTAAGCATGAACCACAATGGTATTGCACTACTTTTTGTGATTACGTTTGCCTCCATCATAAAATTTAAGGGACAACAAAATTACCCCCAAGCGATGTAAGGCTCAGCAATCCTGAGCATGTTGATTGAAGCCTTGTTCAGTCGGACGAACACACCATTGAAGATCTGGCGCAGACGGAGCAGCTGCAGAACTTTGCGGACCTTGGGGCTGACGCCGTTGATACTGGAAGACAAAGATGATAACTATTAGCATATAGATCAGCATCAGTATGTCGCTCAGACCTATTCCATAGATAGTGGTTTCAGAAATAATTGGCTTATTTTGCATATCTGTATCACCATAGTCGATCAGACGGGGAAAGAGTGTGCATCATTAACCACGCAACTAACAAAAGCATTTACAATTTACGCAAGTACATTTACATGGATTGCAATATTAACCAATTATATGCATTAACTAAGGCACTACTGAATGAAAGTGCCATCTAAACAGCAGACCCTCAACACCAAAACATATTTACTTTAATTCATTTGTGATTGCATTGAACATCACAATATCTAAACTGTTTGAAAACAGAGGGTCAGCCATTTATAACACCCTCATGTACCACTACACACAGAACGAGTTGAAACAGCTTCTGCAGAATTAGCAACCTAGCTATAACCACAATAGAAACAGAGGTTTGGAACAAGGTTTAATAAAGACTGAATCCTATAAAGAAACCTTCCACAACATGGAAAGGGCATCATCAGCCATTTAACAGGTAACACAGCATGGCATGTGAGCAGGAACACGATTAATTGATTCATAAAAATTAACAACAGTTTGAGCATTAATGTCAAGTTTGAAGTCTTGCAATCCATGTAAATGTAATTTAAGACTACTAGGACAGTTCTCTCCCCAGGTAGGGGACACTACTCACCCTCTGATCCTGATGACAAAGGCCAGTTTGGGCTCAGCTGGCACATAGTAGTTTCCCACTTTACGAGCAGAACGGCCCAGGCGGATCTCACGCCTGTACATCTGCCTGTACTCCTTGTGGTACTTCTCAGCCCTCTTGTAGATCAGTTTCCTGGTCACCTTACGGGCCTACGAACACACAATGAATACAAACCCATTCAATGCAAGGACTTCAGGACCTACTCACATGTATCGGTTCTTCTCTGGATGGGCCATCATACACGCAGTGCAACTTACTTTTTTCTCAGACAGCATCTTCTTGACACGCATGGCCTTCATGGTGGCGAAGGCCTTTCGCCTTTTCAAAAGGCTCTCAGGGACCGCCGGAACCTTTTTTCTGTCGGGGATACAAAAATGTCAGGAGCAAATTGGAAACACATTTAAAATATCGACTATGAGCGCAGGAAATCTGACTAAACTGACACTCATCATCCCCGCTGGAAGCTAGCTGCTAGTTTGCTAACCTGTCCTTTACCGGCTTCCCTACAGGTTGTGTTTCTCACTTTAAAGTTAACCTACGTGTCCAGGAAGCACAAAATGTGAGATAAAAAACAACGACATATTAGTTGTCAGTTAATGCTTCCCTTTGTTCTCCTTTCTAGCTCAGAAACTAACATCTTCTCGAAGGCACGAAGGCTGGAAAGACAGCCATGTTGGACTACTACTACGGAGACACTTAAGTCTCCATAAAGTGATTTTAACAACAATAAGAATGACAATCCTTAACAATACTACGAGTGTTGTGATGTATACAAAGTACACAATCTATCCAATGCGTAAAATTAACAAAGATGGTCATTTTAACACTGGATGTGCTTAGATTTTGAAAGGGCAGCGAACACTCACTCTGCGTCCGCCATTGCGTCCACCGAGAAAGAGAAATCTTCTTTTGCGCATGTGCGCGTTAAAGGATTTAGGACCTCCACGGGTTGTCCTTCCAGCTGCCTGATTTGTACGTTTCTTTTGTTAGTCTACCAAAAGTCTTCTAAAATGATAATCATGGCTTAGATAAAATATTGCATTCGTTGTTAGTAATCTCTTGTAATACTTTAAGTTAAATGGCCTCTAAATTGTTATATCTCGGTATTTTTTAAATTTTTTGTTTGGATTGTGGTTACAAGTTACAAGTTCTGAAAAGCTAAGGTTAAAGTTAACTTTAAAATTTTTATTCTGTCATTCGTGAGCCTATTTTCGACAGTAATTTGTGAAATAAGATCTAATGTACGTTATGACAGTACCTTCCCAATTCCCATGCCACAGGTGATGGTGATGCACCTTAGATAATACAGCCATGTTAT